ATATATCTCAAACAGAGGAAGGCTGTAAAGCCAAGAACAGCATGTCAGTCTGGGGTTGGCATCTCACACTGCTTTTCAGTCAAAGTGATATGATTGGTAACAAGGATGAAAGGGGCCCCCAGAAGATACCAGTAATACCAGAGAGAGACTGACCCCAAGCCTTGCCTTTAGGCACCCATCTGTAAAACAAACCTATGGTCAAAGACCACACAGTGCAGTACTAGAGCAGTACATTATATCCATTTTTCCATTTTATTTCTCCAAATGTTCCTGCACATGCTGAGGCCTTATTGAGCAGTTTGTCTGTTAATAAAGTAGTCATTGAGAAATGTGGAACAAAGTGCCAGTAATAACCCAAGGAAAGACTTCAATTGCTTTTTTGTTTTGGGTACAGGAGCTTCTACTTAAGCCTGCAATTTATCAATGAGGGGTCTAATCTCTCCATTGCCTAAAGCATATCTCAGATGTCTAGTTTCAGCATAGCTGAGCTAGTATTTTGCTGGATTTGCCATAAGGCCTGCAGCCTGAAGTGACTGTAGCACTGTCCTGACCTACTGGAGAGTTTACTCCCAGGTACTTGTGACTGTGACTACATCATTAAAGTATGCAGCAGCATACTCTCAATGTGGCTGCAGTACCTTGCTGTAGTACCTAGCTGCTGGAAGGTGGTTGTGGCACTATGGAGTCTGAAGGGGAGGTCTCAAAATCAATACAGCTCCCAAAGGTGTCATGAATACTGTTACCTCCTGGAACCCTGGGGCCAAGAGGAACTCCCTATAAGCCTTTGTTAAGTTCAGTGTTGTTATATATTTCACCTTCCTCAGCCACTGTAGCAATTCAGCAATCCAGGGCATCAGGTATGCCTCAGACTTCAATACTACATTTAACTTCCAGGAATCAATGCAAAACCAGGTCATCTTGTCTGGTTTGGGAACCAATATGACTGGACTACTCTATTCATTTCAATCATTTTCATATCCAGCATACTCTGTGCTTCTTTCAGTTTCCTGTAATTGCTCTGGGATTCTGGAGAACCCCGTTAGAATGGAACACTCTGGTCATTGTATTATCTCAAAACCAGTCTGGGTGCTTCTTCCAGGTTTGGCTGTGAACATATCTGGGCAGGCCTCTTTGCCTCCACTTGCTGAGATATAGTCAGGTTCTCCCCCAAGATGACTACCAATCAGGAGTTGAGCTGCATCCTGCATATTTCCCATTTCAGTTGCCAAACAGAGTCATTGAGGGTTTCTTGGACCTTCTACAGTTTCAGGTAATGTTACCAAGGAAGATCACAAATTTGTGGCATGTAATAGTATATATAGTAAGAGACACTGTTGACCAGTCTCACAGTATGTTCATCAGAACCAGTTCATGTTCTCCTACTCTTCCATTCCCAGCTGCAGAACCAGGTCCTGGGGCTCCTGGCCAGGAGGACTTTGCTAAGCTATCAGATATTTTAGACTTAGTAGCACTGTTCAGCCTTTTGCCTGTTCTTTCTTCTCAGGGAAAGGAGACCTGGGTTTCTGTTTGAGTTAACACTCAAGTTGGAAGATTGGGCCAAAAAAAATCTCATGAGGTTCAACAAGGACAAGTGTAAAGTCTTGCACTTAGGGTGGAAGAATCCCATGCACTGCTACAGCCTGGCTAAGCAGCAGCTCTCTAGAGAAGGACCTGGGGGCTACAGTGGACAGTAAGACAGATAGGAGTCAGAAATGTGCCCTTGTTGCCAAGAAGGCTAACAGCATACTGGGTAGCATTAGTAGGAGTGTTGCTAGCAGATTGAGGGAAGTAATTATTCCACTCTATTCTGGATTGATGAAGCCACATCCAGAGCACTGTGTTAAGTTTTGGGCCACCCACCTTAGAAAGGATGTAGACAAGTTGGAGCGAGTCCAGTGCAGGGCAACAAAAATGGTAAGGGGGCTGTGGCACATGACGTATGAGGAAAGACTGAGGGAACTGGTCTTATTTAGGTTGCAGAAGATAAGACTGGGAGGGGATTTGTTAGCAACATCAGCCTTTAACTACCTGAAGGGTGGTTCCAAAGAGGATGGAGCTAGACTGTTGTCAGTGGTGGCAGATGACAGAACAGGGATCAATGGTTTCAAGTTGCAGCAAGGAAAGTTCAGGTTGGATATGAGGAAAAACTCTCTCACTATGAGGGTGGTGAAGCACTGGAACAGGTTACCTAGAGAGGTGGTGGAATCTCCATCCTTGGAGGTTTTTAAGGCCTGGCTCGACAGCCCTGGCTGGAATTATATAGTTGGGGACAGGGGTGATACATACGGGGTGCACACGGGTGCATGTGCACCCCCTGAGCATGGCGGTGCACCCCCTGCAAAAAGGGTGCAAAAAACAGTGTCAACAGCGCCTGTGGGCGGTTACCACTCGCCTCCCTGCCACCGCTGGCAGCGTCTGCAGGTGGTCTGTGGTTCCTGCTGGCCGCCACCACCAAAAATGCCAGTGGCGGCTGCAGGAGCTCCCCTGCTTACCACCACCATGTTCCTGCCACCACCTCCATGTTCCCACCACCTCCATGCCCCCCCCAGGCTGCTGGGGGCATGCTGGGGATGATACTGCTTTGAGCAGGGAGCTGAAGTAGGTGACCTCTTGAGGTCACTTGCAGCCCTAACTTTCTATGATTCTATGAGCATGACAACCTCAAGGTTGCCATCTTAGACCACATGGGGCTTACTGGAGAGGAACACCAGCACTATTTATGGGAAGAGGCATTTAATTTGGATTCTCAGCCCCAAGCAGTTACACAGCGCCTCAAAGACTTGTGCACCCAGTGAGTGAAAACAGAGTCCTGCTTGGCCACCAAAATCATGGAATTGATAACTCTAGAACAATTCCAGCAGATATTGCTGGTGGGGCTCAGGAGTGGGTTTGCTGACACAGTGTTGATGATTTTAAGAAGACAGTCTGCCACATCAAAAAGCAGCCAAATAAGAATGTGGGAAATGCCCAGGCAGGCCAAAGACATAAATTGAAAGCAAGAAGGAACTACCATAGCTAGAAGATCAGTAGGTGTAAGTCCAGGAAAAAAAACAACAACCAACCAACCAAATAACAGAAAGAGAGAGGGAAAGACAGCTCTTTGTTGTCAACATCCACCTAACTAGAAATCTTAGAGCACTCATCTGAGAGGTGGGTGATCCATGTTCATGTCCCTGCTCCACATCAGGAATCCTAGACCGAGTGCCCTAACCACAAAGTTATTTGCTATTTTGGGATGTCTATCTCATTTTGACCAGCAATGCCATCTGGGACCAAATAAAACTTTGCCTCAATTAGTACATTACTGTGAAAAAGTTTTAGTTTTGTTGAACTGACATTTTTAATCAAAAACTGCTTTATTGAAAAATTCCCAAATAGCTCTAGTATGTATGCATCCAATTACCAAAAGTGCATTGTGATTTATACCAACTATCAGGACTCTGATCAAAAGCAGACCCCTCAATACGAGAATCTACAGAAAGCAAAGCAATCAAACAACAGAATTAAAACCTTGATTTCTTGTATCTGACTCTCAGAACTACAGGCTTTCCATTTTGACCAGGAACCACCTGTTTAAGTTTGAGAGATAAATATGACATTACTGTCAGAATATGTACATTAGAATTCCTTTTCACAAAGACTTCAGACACTTTGGCTTGGTTTTACCTCCGTGATTTTTTTTTTTTTGGATGTATGAATGATCACAAGAATTCCCACCCTCTGTGGATAAAAGTGACTGGTGTACAGATTTAGCTTTCCAGGGTTATATATTATGCATGAAAATATCATGATGTGAATTAAGAGTGATAATGAATGTATAATAATAAGCTATCTTTGGAATGGCAATGAGAATACAGGGCTGGTTCATTTAAGTCCAGTCCCCTGCTACCACAGGCATTACAGCCTGCAGGGAAGGCAAGATACTGTTTTACCAATTAATCCCTTTCATCATAGTTACTCTACTACAGGATCTGATAGGGAAAACCAGCATAACTATAAGAAGTTAGGCAAAATTCAGGTGTTTGGTTTAGCAACATCTGTTTCAATGTCTGGATAAATATGCTGCAGCTTGGAAAGGTCAGTTCATGGAAGTAAAAATTATAATGCTCTGACTGCAATAGAAAAGTGCCCTGAAAATGGGAAGCAGGCACAGGATATTTTCATTCATGAGGTGCAAGCCACTAGAAACCAGAAGGGAAGATAACTTTGTGGTGATATACTGAGAACTTGTTTGATATGAGACACAGTATGCCCTCCTTCCCCTCAAAATACGTCAGAAGTGAACAATAATCACACACGCACACAGGGACACACTCTAAGTATATTCTGTAAATTCCAAAGCCAGTTATTCAAGGCAGGGGTGTGAAACATATGGCCCATGGGCTAGATATGCCCTGCAGAGGTGGATCATATAGCCCACCATCTTTTCCCTGGACCAGAATGGAAGAGCAGGAGTTGCCTGCTGGTGGCATTTGTGTCCCCTGGTCAGCTTCCCTGCAGAGGGAGGTACTGGTGTGGCACCTACTGCAGCCACTGTCATATTTACTGTTTCCTGTTGATAGTGGCCACGGGAATCACCAGTAACACTTGGTGATGGGGGTGAGCAGTGGCAGCTACAATAGAGACCGCTGACACTCCTCGCAGAGCAGCAGCTCTGATCATGATGGTGGAGCTTCTTACCATGGCTTTTAGATCCATGGCAAAAATTGGCCTTCTGGTAGCTGTGGCTGCACAATGGACAGAGTCCACTGTAGTACAGCAGGTGCTTCCCACATATACCTGCAAAGCAGGGAATAAGGCCCACAGAACAATATGAGTTTGACACCCTTGAGCTAAAGGATAACAGGGCAGATTGTCACATTCCTCCAGGTTCCCCATACTTTCCTCTCCTGGGACATTGCAGATAACCCTAACCATGAACCCAACTCTTCATGCGTTTATTCAGCCCAGGTGCCCCCAGCCTCAGCTCCAAAGAGCATGAGACAGAAAGTGTCACTTACTAAGTGCCGTGGGAGCCTGCCCGGCAGAGGCATCTGCCCGTTTCAAAGTGGCACTCGCCGTTGAAGCAATCGCTGCACACAAAGGCACAGTTCTCACCATACGTCCCATTGCGACACTTGGTTTCACACCTAGGAAATAGCCAACAGGAACTAGTTACAAGAATGGGAAGGGAAGAGGAGAGCTCTTCCTGGGAGCTAGCAGATAAGACAGCTTGAAGCAGGGCAGGATCATCCAGATAAACAGATTGGAACTTTGGAAATCTCCTGTCATTTCCTGTTCCTCCCTCTCCCCAGGAAAAGGGTGGGGATGAAAACCCTCCACACTTTCAGCAAGGAGCTGGGCCCAATTCAGCTGTGAGAAGCAACCCCATTGTCCATGCAGAGCCAACTGACTATAAAGGGCATTTTGGGGCTTTGAACCATGTCTCCTCAGGAGCAGTTAGGCTGTTTGAGGGACATGTGGAAACAAAGGGAAAGATTATGCTGTCTTTCAGGGCAAGTTGGGCTCTTTCCTTGGGTCCCCATAAAAGCAGTGATTTGTACACATCTCACAGTCCTGTCACTTCAAAAGCCCAGCCAGGATTTATGCCCATCATTCCATGAAGACCTTTGAGATATGGTAGAAAAACTAGCTCTGCTTTCTGATAGATGCTGTGGTCTCTGGAAACTGAGAGACACCTTAGTTGCTGGTTTGGTACTGTCACACCTGGGCTATGTCTGGGTGGTGCCTTTACGAGTTCCAGAGTGAGGGAGTCTTCAAAACTATCCAGCACAGACCCAAGTCAATAGCACCTTCCTTTCTACATTGCCTCCATTTGATTGAGCAGGATTTGTCCAGACCTGGCCTTCCTGAGGCATTCTCCCTCCCCATTCCCTATCCAGACTACTCTAAGCATGGCTTCCCAGGATGCCTTGTCTTGTGAAAGAACCTGAAATTTGGCTGAGAACTGGAGGGTGACACACTATTATTCTCCTGCTAGGACAGAGTTTGGAGGGAAATGAGGTTGTGCAGGTGCCCTGTCCTCATGACCTTGAGATCTGTGCTTTGCCTGCCTGAATTTGGAGACTGGAAAGGATTAATCAAATCCAGATGACAGAGAGCTGAAGCCCAAGGCCAGCAGCAAATGTCTCTAAGAGAACATAAGAGCTGAAATTGCTCAGACTAGGCACATAGCCAGGGTTAACCAGCTAGGACCCCAGCCAGAGTTGGCACAAGGGTTCTACCAACCTGCTGAGATGGAAGATGAAACTCATACAAGAGTTCAATTAAATATAGCCCCTCCCAGAGGCTACAAAGCCCTGTTAAGGGCTTAGGGGGAGGGGACCATTCCTTACACTTCCAGTGACTTCAGAGCTGGCATCCTAGAGTGGAAGGAAAGGGTGAGCCTCACCAGCCTCTTCATATGCATGGAGCTGTTTGGACCTGCCATGACAACAAACATTGATCACTCTTAGGCAGGCTGGGAGAGGGAGTGACCTGGGAGAAGAGGCCTCCAAAGGAGAGAAAATGCTGACAGAGGATGCCAGTGCTCTGTCAACAGTCAATCATAGAATCATAGAAAATTAGGGCTGGAAGGACCTCAGGAGGTCATCTAGTCCAACCCCCTGTTCAAAGCAGGACCAGCCCCAAGTATATTATCCCAGCCAAATCTCAGCAAGGTTCTGAGAGTTTGATCCTTTGTGATTAGCTTACATGCTGCAGGGAAAGAAAGAACTGTAATTCCTCTCCTTTGGTCAGTATCTGTTTCTTCTGGTCAGTTTTGTTTCCCTAGAGGCTGGACAGCTCCAGGGAAGGAGGGAAGACATCCTAGGACCAATAAAAGCTCACAGCAGGAACACTT